TTTTTGGTTGGTTGTGGCTTGAACTCTGTGCTTGGGCACTGTCCCTCAGCTCTTCAATCTTCAGCTCAAGGCTAGCACTCTACCACTTGAGCCACAGTGTAACTTCCAGCTTTTTCTTTGTATGTGGTTCTGAGGAATTGAACCCAGGGCCTCATGCATGCAAGGAAAGCACTCTACCATTGAGCCACCTTTCCAGCCCGAATGAAAATATATTTGAATACTAGTCAAGTGATTTGGGAAGTTATTATTACAGTGAAGAAGTCAACGAGAAATTTACATTACAGATTTGTTTTTGTCCTGTTAACACATACTGACCATTGGGTGCATGTATGTTTTTGATCAGACAAACAACAGCAAGCAAAACAATCTTCACTAAATTTTGAATGAGCTTTAAAAACGCCTTGAGGTGGTACCAAACTTTTCATATTGGAGAAAATATTCTCCATCCTCTTTACAAGTGAGTGAAGGGACTGCAGGAATGTTTGTCCTATTTGGATTGACTTGAATTCCTCAACTGACAATAATGAAATGTTGTGATGTCCCTCCTTTCCAGTGCTGAGTTCAGTGCTATCCCTTCTTTGAATCTTTCCCTTTTAACTTTTTTTTTTTCCCATACAGAGGAGTTTGCTCTGGCAGCTCAGAAATTTGGTCAGGTTACACCCATGGAAGTTGACATCTTGTTTCAGTTAGCAGATTTATATGAGCCAAGGGGGTAAGTTGGCTTTCTTTCCTTTTTTTTTTTTTTAATTAGTTTAATAAAAGGAGGTTAGGAGGTAGGGGTTGGAGGAGGAGCAGCACAGGGAGGAAAGAAGCCAAATGAAAAGCAATGCTGAAATATGGGGAATGATAAAAAGAATATTCTGCAATGCTGTAATGTTAATATAGTCGGTTAGAATGTGTGTTGTTGCTTATGTTGGTTTTTCCTCTAGACGTATGACCTTAGCAGACATTGAGCGGATCGCTCCTCTGGAAGAAGGCACTCTGCCCTTCAACTTGGCTGAGGCCCAGAGGCAGGTGAGTGAAGAGGAAGAATAAGTTTTCCTCCCCAGCCCCTTTTCACATGCAGTACCTTTCTGACTCTGGTTTTTTACTTACCAGTTTTTACTTGGCATCTCCAAACTTAGGCATTTTTAGAAAGCTGAGAAGAGAAATTACTTAGAGACTTTCTTATGAACAGACAATGGTATTTGTTTCCTTTCCAAGGTAGAGTGATTTACCTAGTGGCTCATACCTGTAATCCTAGCTACTCAGGAGGCTGAGGTCTGAGGATCACAGCTCAAAACCAGGCCAGGGACGCCAATTTGTGAAATTCTTGTCTCAGTTAACTGGCAAAAAACTTGAAGTAGAGCTGTGGCTCAAGTGCTAGAGCACTAGTCTTGAGTGACTAAGCTAAGGGACAGTGCCCAGGCCCCGAGTTATTGGTGCCCCCCTACCCCCCCCAAAAAAAGAGAAAAAAGAGTGGTTCCTTGCTACATTCCAAAAGCATTCTCAGGTTGAGCGGATGGAAAGAGCCTTGAGTTGTCACCATCCCCGTCAGCAGCAGCTGCACATGGCTAAATGAAAGTTGTCTTTTGCTCCACAGAGGTACTCTGTCAGTGTATTGTCTTAACTGTAATGCCTTCCTTTTTTTTTTTTTTTAGTATCAAAATGAGATAATTTTGTTTAGTCTGGAGTCATAGTTTGGAGGCTTTTAGACCTATTTTCTCTGTGAAAGGATTCATAAGTTATGTGGAAACAATTTTAGGAATGCTAAATTTTATTTTATGGTTAACAGAACCCAATCTCTTGAAGTTGTGGGAGTCAGAAACTTAAGACTTGGGACCTCCTCACTTAACTCTTGCTCAGCTCACTGTAGATCAGCCTTTGTGAAGAAAAGCCTTCCTGGCATGTGGTGTGCTTATACGGCATTTATAGAATAAATCCACTCACAGACAGAGTGTCGTTTTTAGAAAAAAGACCTCCTTTAAGGCAAAGCCATCTCTGAGTCCTGCGAGACTTAACCGTTTTTGGCTTGGAACTCTAGTTCTGTATAGAGACGCCAGTTTGACCACAATGGGTTGATGCGGGCTACATTTTTAGGACTGCCAGGCTTCAAGCCAGGACCCTCCTCCTTTTTAGCTCCTTCCCACCCAAAGGCAGTGGCTGAGTTTTGTGTGCACCATGGAAGTCAAACTAGTGGGTGTGTACTCAGTAAATCCCAACTTGGCACCTCTGGAAACCCAGCTGGCTGTGGTTGAAAGAGGAAGCCGATTTCCCTGGGTGCAGGAGGAAAAACTCTGTAATCACGTGCAGAAGTGGAGGCCATGTTTCTCTCCCCTCCCTTTGATTTTAAACAACAAATATGAGATGATGATCTCCTCTTCTATATGCCATCGGCTGTTGTTGAAATTTGGGGATAAAGAGAAAGCAGAAAAGCTTTTTTACATGTCCCTGCTCTCCAGCTGGCAGGGGCACCCCACTATTTTTAACCTGTAAGCCCTTTTGCAGCTTTTGAGATTTTGTGTTGGGTGATGGTTGATAGTGGCCATGAAAGGGTTAGGGCTAGTTTGATGAGATTTACAGCAGGAAATGATTGGCTTCTGCTTAGAAGTTTAGAGCAATTCACAGCCAGCCTGGTATGGAATACAGCATGCTTTTTACTCCATGAACCCCACTGGGCATAACACATTTGAACAACGGAGGTCATCCACCTGTAGGCAAGTCTGCCTGTCCCAGTACTGTGGAATGTTTCTCCTACACAGGAGTGGAGAAGGTGGAGTCTTTATTATGTCATTTTTAACAACATGCTACCATTTCTAGCTTCTGAAAGATTAGAGTATGGAGTTTCATTTGTCTTTTAATTGAGAATTAGAGGCAAGGGGAGGTTCCTCCCCTTGATTATTTTCAGAATACTGTAAATCATTATTTTGATACCCAAGCATATCTTAAGTATTACATATTTTTATGTGTATAAATAAAATTGTGCTTCTCTTTTGAATGTGTTGGTCAAAATGAAGGTATTATTGAGCTCCATCCATTCAGGCACAGAATTGGGAACAACTTGTGAAATTTGCACGACATGTTTTACATTCTTAAAGTTGCATATACCTATGTAAAGCTATTTTCAGTTAAATGACAAGGAAATTCCAAATAATCTCATTATATTAGAATTGTGCTACACTGATAGCAACTAAAATTCAGAGGGTTGGTAGCTGGGGTTGATGATTATTTTCATTATTCCCTGATTTTTAATTATCAGAGCTTTTGGAAAACAAATTTAATTTAATATATTTATTCAACAAGCCCTGACTGTATGTCATCCTTATTTGACAAGTCTATGAGTCATAAAATCACTATTTTATTTATGCAGGTAGAGAAGTACATTATGTTAAAATGTTCTTGCCCCAGAAATACTTCAAATGATAGGCTAGAAAGGTAGCAACCTAACAAATGACTGACCTGGAATATGAATTTAGGAAAGATGGGCTAAAGGAGGAAAAATGAATAATCACATATAATCAGCCACTTACTAAGGATGTCATAAAAACATTGAGTAGCTATCTCTGGGTGGTAGTGTTAACAAAATGTTAATATGTATTTTGTATGCATATAGACCCACAAATATGAGTAACTATCTCTGGGTGGTGGTGTTAACAAAATATTAGTATGTATTTTGTATGCATATAGACCCACAAATAATTTCAATAAATGACTTCATGCTTCATTGTTCAAACATTTTCATTACCACGAAATATTTAAATGGAAAAGGGGTTCTTATGGAAAATACCTGTCTAACCACAAGGTTCTTTCTTCTTAGCTTATATTTTCTTATTTCTTACATATGCTTATTACAAACATTTTTGAAAGTTGTGATATTGGTTTTCTTTTTGTTGTTTTTGGTGTTTGATTTTGTCTTTTTTTGTTTGTTTGTTTGTTTTTTGGGGGGTGGTAATGGGGCTTCAACTCCGGGACTAGGTACTGTCCCTGAGCTCTTTTGCTCAAGGCTGTCTCTCTACCACTAGCCACAGCACCACGTCTTATGATACTGTATTTTGAGTAGTTATCTATGAATGGTCATTAAAGTATTTCCAGGATTTTACCTTTTTTTTTTGTTAAAAAAAAAGCTGCTTTGTAGAATTTCTATAGTTGGACACTTTTTTTTTCTACTAGCTTACTAGCTCTTAAGCTACTAGCTTACTACTAGTTTACTAACCTAATTATTTACTAACCTAATGTTATATAAGTAGTTTTAAGTGTTTGGATATATATTATCAAATTTTCCTCAGCTTTGCTTTGTTTGATAACTATTTTGATAAGATCTATTTTACTTAATTCTTGTGAGCCTGGATATTGCCACTTAAAAGCAAAATAAATAAATTAATTAAATAAAATAGCCAGTTTAATTAATGAAAAATTATATCTCACTCATATTTGTTGAATTTTCATTCCTTTGGTAACCAAAATTGAGCATTCACTTAAAACATTTTTATTGTAAAGATGATGTACAGAGGGGTTACAGTTACATAAGTAGTAAAATAATGTATACATTTCTTTTTGAACAGTGTTGCCCCCTCCCTCATTTTCTCTCATCCCCCCAACTTTACCCAAATTGTAAAGTTCATTTCCAACATAGTGTCTAGTAGCATTCATTTTTTAAAAAATTACCTTTAGTGAGTTGTACAAAGGATTTTCAATACATGTCAGTTTACGAGTACAGTGCAACATTGTTTTTAGTAAATAATGGCTTCTTATTATGTCCAAACGTGACTTTAAATACTTTAAGAAATAATATAGTTTTTATTACTGAGAACTTATGGAATCTAACCTAATTTTCCTCTTTGGCACTTTAGTTGTATCACGGATTTAGACCTAGAGAATGTTTTTTAAGTAATATGTTCTGTTTATGTCTTTCCCCCTCCTGCCTGGAACCCCCCCTCCTCCCCCCTACACCCCCCCCCCCCCGCCTTCTTTCCCATGTGCAGAAAGCCTCAAGCGATTCAGATCGGCCAGTTCTCCTACAAATTGCAGAATCTGCCTACAGGTTTGGTCTGGGTTCTGTTGCTGGAGGTTAGTTACGATTTGTGCAAGATACTCACTTTAGTGTTTCCTTTTGTCTTTTCTCAGATTTTCTATTTTGTAGTATTTCAGAGCAAAGCCTTTCCTGGTTGTTGCCCAAATCAATCTGTCTATATGACTAAATGGGAGCAAAGGGGACTTTGTTACATACCTGCGTATAATTAGGCTCTTACAAATAACATTTTTCTCTTCCTGATCTTCAAGCAGCCTTTTAAAGATTGGCAAATAATGAGGTTAAGGCTGTACTGTTATGCTTTTAATTTAAGCCCTGTGACATCTTTTTATCAGGAGATACAAGAAGGAAAATCCACAAAAGGTTTATTAAGAATGTAGAAAGTTAGTGCAGTTTTAAAGTCTCTATATGCAAAATTTATTTCTTTTCTTAGGCTTTCTTTGATTTTATCCATTTTTCCCTTCCTTCCAACTGACCTTAATTCCCTCTAAAATCTTGATATTATTTAATTTTAGCTGTTGGAGCTACTGCTGTGTATCCTATTGATCTTGTAAAAACTCGAATGCAGAACCAACGATCAACTGGCTCTTTTGTGGGGGAGCTCATGTATAAAAACAGCTTTGACTGTTTTAAGAAGGTGCTCCGTTATGAAGGCTTCTTTGGACTGTATAGAGGTTAGTGCCATGCCCCATGTCCTGTAAGGAGAAATAACAGTCAGAGGTTTGGCTTTCTATCTCAGTGCCTGAAATGAATTAGAGAGACTGTGTTAAAATGGAATACAGCAGATTCTCGATTATCCATGCTAATGGGTGTGGGCCGGAGGCATGTAGGGCATAGCTAATCAGAACAGCCCATAATCTGAAAGCCATTTATATTGCCCTCCCGTATGTTTTATTTCTTAAAATAATAAATTATTTTTTATAAACATCTTCAGTAAGTTTTTAAAAGGTTCATTGTGTTCCTAAAGTATTCCACTCAGCAGCTAATAAAGGAAAGGTATCCTCGGGACAGGACAAAGCTGGCATGTGATTCTTGGTTCTGGAACATACAATAGCCTTCCTTATCTAAGATGTTGCTTTCCATGGCTTCAGCTACTGAGACAATCATGATCTGAAAATGTTAATTAGAAAATTCCAGAAATTAGTGAGTCATACATTATAAATTGTGTACTAGTCTGAAAAGTGAAATCTCATTTCTTCTGGTTTCAAAATGAAGTGGATGTATCATCCGAAGGTCATTACATCACAGTGTCCTTGTCATCCACCCAACCTTCATCTCAGCACATAGACATCTCATGTCACCACAAGTAGTGTAAGGATAGTACTCTACACTATTCTGAGAGTGACGACGTTTATAAAACATTAATTATAGCATATTATGATTGTTCGGTTTTATTATCCTTGCTAAAATTTAATTTAATTAGTTTATTTATTTACGTATTTATGTTTGTAATGTTAGGTATGGAACCCAGTATTTTGCAGGGGTTAGGCAAATACAGTACCAGCTATATGCCCAGCCCCAAATTTGCAGATTAAACTTTGTCACAGGAAAGAACACTCCTGTCCATTGTTTAAGGAATCTGCTGGAGATCTTGGAAGGTACCTCTATAGATACTGCCCGACAAGTGACTCTACCCCAGGAAATCTGCCCAGCAGATAAACTAAGCATTAGTGGAGCCCTCCCTCCCTGCCTTCTTCTGAATTCAGGTTACCTCTTCACATCATCTAACTGTATCTACTCTAGCTAGTTCATCTTTTATTATGTCTCCAACTACCTTTATTTTGTCACTGAAGAGTATTAAGCAAGGAAGATGTCATCTCTAAGGCAAAGGATCCTACAGCCTTTCTGGATTTTTTTTGCTAATATTGCCTAACACATACCTTGACTTCCTGCCTCCCCTTTTGTACCTGCCTTCTGAAAAGAAGAAAAAGTGTATTTGCATCAGTTAAAATACAGAATTGCAAGGTGTTTGATGCCCTGCTGCTTTGCCATTTGTCCACCTGCAGGTCTTCCCTCCTCTTCCTACTAGTGCTTGCTCTAAAAGAAGAAAATAGTGTTTAATGTTCTGTTCAGGCAGATAAAACTGGCAACTATGCTAACCCAGGCCTCTAGGCCTCTTCTGCCATCTGCTGACTTCAGTTTCTCTCCAAAGGAAACTTGCATGTGAAAAACAAAAATTCCTCTCACCTTAGAAGCTGGGAGGGTTCCAACTGTAGAGAAGTTCCATTTTTGCAGATCCTATTAGATAGGTAGATAACCTTCATCAAAGGCCTTTTGATCTTTTCTCTTCCCTCCTTCCCTCCCCGCTTCCCCCCTTTCTTACAATTGGGAAGGTCTTTGACCCCAGGTGATTGATGATGACCCCTATTGGGTCAGTGCCTTCCATTGAAATAGTTTTCCCCCTTGGTGACAACCCCCTTGCAAATGAAATGGCTCCCAAGTAGTACAAGGTTAATGTCACAGATCCTGCTTTGAGGCCAGTTAAGCAAAATTGACCACCTTACCTGCTTGTGTGGGTGGCTTTGTGAAAGGAAAACTTTTAACCCTCTTTTCAGAACAAATGTCTGTGCCAAGGCTTTGCTTTACCAACTACTTTTATGAGCTTTGCTTTTATGAGTATTGGAGTAAATAAATATCAGGAGTGCCTTTAGACTTGTGAGAGCCCTGTGCAGCACTGCTGAATGTCTTCAGTGTGCTTGTATTGACTGCATTTGTTTGAAACTTTCCTCTGTGATCACACCTGGCAGGCCATGATTCTTAATTATAGCTATATTTCTCTTCTGTGACCTGTCCTTTTGACCCCATAGACAGAAGAGTTCAAAGTGTACTCGAGCACTGAGTGCTAAGCAACATAGGTTGTGAAAAGTGGTTCCTATCTCTTGGTGGTTCAGTTGTTGTCTGAGTAAGAAGAGTGTGACTAATTTTAACTTCTCAGAGAAGGGAAGGGAGCTGGCACATAGAGCTAAGGCTCATTCTGAACACTAAAGAAGCAGCTCTTCAGCCTTTTGAGGAGTTATAAATAGCCATTTATTTAACCTGTTTGAGGTGCTGAGCCCAAAGGGCAAAGGCCAGAGCTGTCTGTCAGGATAACAAGTAGAGTGTGACTGTAAGAAGATTAGCTCTGGGAGTCACCTATGTTCATTTCTTTCTGAGTTCTTATCTTTCCTAGCAGAGGATTTTAAAACAAAAGATTTACTATAAAACTCTTGTTAAGTTCCAATCTATAAGTTGCATCCTGAGAGCAAAGAGATGATAGACAGTTCAAGTTAAAGAAAAAAATAGCAATTTACATTCTTGCCATGAAAAATGACTCATTCCTGTTCTAAATTGGTCAGGAGCCTATTCCCTAGTTTTTTGCACATGATCAGTTATTATATGCCACTGTGTGTTTGTAAATGCTTATCATTGGGCAAGAGAGAAACAATATGAAAAGGCAGGCAAATCCTGGCAAATTTATTAAAGGAAATCAGAGTAGGAAATTTAAAAGACAAGTATTTTTGAGATGCAGCATTATGATCTTTATGTACAAAGCTAAGATATCAGATACCTACATGAAATTCCTTGTCCATTTCTAGTTAAATGTAAATTCAGTTGTTTGGGTTTTTTTTTTTTTTGTCACTTCAGGGGAAAGCGGTTACATTTAAGTTTTGAGAATAAAACTTGCTGCTATTAATACTTTCACTTAACAATAATTGAGATGATGTTGGAGTTCATGTCTAATGTATAAACATGTTTCAAATGAGCAGTTTTAGTATTTACATAACATACAATTCTCCATCAAGATATGTATATGCATGTGAATGTATAAAATGGTTCATATTTCCTGAATAGGGTAATTTGGAAATATTAGGAGCTGTCTTCCCTGTTTTAAAATTACTTTTGTGTATTCTTCTTCACAGTTGGCAAATGGCTCTGAAAGATGTGGCTTTACATTATGTTTATAAAGTTAAAAATTATTTTTCATCACACTGTCCTTCTCTTACAACAAGAATACAACTGTTGTTGTTGTTGTTGTTGTTGTTAATTTAAAAGGAGTTCCCTGTGGAACTAAAGTGAAGGTTATTTTCAGAGAATACTTTCAGTGCTTCAGAATGCATTGTTTTGCTTTTTTCCTTCTCTAGCAGCTGACAGCGTCTGTACACCATCCTGGAAGTTGTCCAGCAGTAATCAGAGAGCACATCTGAATCACTGCCCATGGTCCTTAGGAGATGAGATAGCTGTGGAACTGTAGGCACAGCCAGCCAGTGGTCTTCAATAGCCGTGCTACAGACAGACATCAGCAACTTTAATGTGTGAACTGGTTAATTCTCTTCTTTTCTTCAATGTAGGTCTCTGTTTCTTTGTCTCTGTGAGACCCAGATTTTATTTATGTTTTACTTGCTGCCAAAGATCCACATAAGAATCTTAAGTCTCTGGCTCCTCAAACCTTGGTGATGCAGTCTGTGTTCTTTATAAGAAAATGACTACTTTACCTAGATTTTTTTTTTGCAGTTTTTGAAAATCTGACCACCAGAGAAATAATAATCTGGGATAATCCAGGGCTTCCTAAGTCGCTTGTAAAAAGTCCGTCTGTTTCTTCCCCAGTCCCATACTGATTTAACTTGTTCCCTTTAATGAATTTCTCTCCAGCTGGATCTGAAGGAACTGCATAACCAGAGTTGAGTCAGTCCTTGGTCTTTCACAGACTGGGCATATTTAAGAGAAACATTTGATTAGGTAATAGTCCATAATGAAAGGCTCTTAATGTTCCTGGATAACTAATTTCTGTTTTTGAATTTTACAACACCTTCCTGTCATTCAGGCAGTGAGATGAGGAGTCTCTCAGAATAGAATGTTTTGGGAGAACCTTTGAGTAAATAAAAATATATATATGAGGAGTCAGGGTCTATCAGAAATACATTCTGAGAAGAGGGACTGTCGGTAGGAGAAGTCCTAAAGAAAATCCCCCCCCCAAAAAAAATAGATCATTTTATGAATTAGATTTAATTTGAAACTGGAGCAGGGGAAGTGGGTAGAGGGATCAGCTAGTTAAAAATACAGGCTTGTATTGCAAAGAAACCTTCCATCCCGGAATGTTCTCAAGGTGACATCTAGAGGATTTTGTGGAATATCTTGGGAAGTCATGGATCTGTACATGTTTAAGAAGGAACTTATCAAGGAGCTAGCGTGAGCCAGGTCTCCTTCCATGGCTGATGGCACTTAGTAGACAGAATCCAAATTCTGTAGACTTCTGGTTAGATTGCTTCTTCCTCAACAGTTCTTGTAGATTAAAAGAAAGATTAAAAACTCCTAGGTCCAATGTAAAATGATTGAAATTTCCATGTCTGTTTGCATTATTTAAAGCACATCTTAGGAGAAATTTGTGAACGTCCCTGAGTCACATATCTACCATTATCCACCAAAACTTTTAAGTAATGCAAAATAGATTGGTGTAAATCTTCTTTCCTTGGTTACTTTCTTCATGCTTTCAGTTATGATGTTAAACTGTGAAAAAATCAAAAGACAGATGTTTGAACATATGAAACCAAGAATGAGGGAAAGATGTGGACACTCATTAACTTATCAGGTCTCCTGAAATCTCTAGTGATTCAACTGCAGTGCATTATCAACTGAGTCTAAGACAGTTGAAACTCTAACTACGGGGGTAGGATGGTGAGAACATTGGTAGAAGCTT